AAAAGCATGGATGGAGTGTTTGTGTGAACTAATATAAATTCAAAGTAAACATCATTACATAAAAGGGTATGGTCTTTTTTTTTTTTTTAGTTTTATTCATTTCAAACAGGCCGGATCCGGCCCGCAGGCCGTAGTGCACTGCTCTAGTCCATAATATTTTGGTACTTTTTCTGCATGAATATATTTTTTTTCCACAGAGTCAACATTCTGCATACATTTTAGTAACCAGCTTTCTTTCACTTAACATTATATAGTGAACATATCCCCATGTATATTACTTGAAAACATTTGAAAGCCTATACGATATCCCATTGATTAAATGTATCATAGTTTATTTAATCTTATTCCTTCAGTAATATATACTTAAGCTGTTCCATTTTTTTGGTATTACAAATAATACTGAGATAAAACATTTTGTTTATAATCATTTAACCAAATATATAATCTCTCAGGATAGATTACATGGAAGGAAAGTACTGAGTCACAGGATATAAACACTTTAAAGACCATAGTATACTTAGTTAAATACCATTCTGAAAGGCTGCACTGATTTACACTCCCCAAAGCAGTATATGAAAGTGGTCATTTCACCATAACTTTAGCAGCACTGGAATTTCCATTTTTAAAAGTTTTACCTGATGGGAGAAAATATTTTTACATCAATTTTTAATTCTTTGATTACTGGAAAGATCAAAATTAAAAATATTTATTAGCTATTTTGCTAGTGTTTTTCTCTGTGTTAATGTTTTCCTTATTGATTTTTTAAAGAGTTCTTTATGCATTAAGGATATTAACATTTCATTTGTAATAATATTTGTTGCAGGGTTATAATTTCTTTCTTTTTTCTTTTTGGGTCTTGAAACTACAAATATGTTTTCTTTTGTAAATTTCCAGTAGCTGTATACTAGTAACGAGATAATATTCATTGCTTTGGCAGCACCCTAGGGAATTAATTCTTAAAATAATGGTTTAGTATATCAGATACTAATAAGGTACTAAAATAATGACTTCTGAAGAAAAGCCTGTTATTTACCTCTGATTAGGTTCTCATTCATTAAATCCAGTTTCTTCTTGAATTGTATTTTTCATTTTTTAACTCCTCCCTCTTATTTTGTATGACTAACCTTAATTCCAAAGTTCTTAATTTACAAAATTCAGGCAATCCAGCAAATTCTATGGCACCTTTTCCACTGAGCTAAAGGTAAAGTATTTTATATCAGTGAAACAGATATATATATATAATCTCACTCATTTGTGGAATATGATGAACAACATAGACTGATGAACAAAAATGGATCCAGAGACAGAGAAGCACAGAAGGTACTGTCCAACCTCAGAGGGAAGGCAGGGGAGGGTGGGGGAGGGATGTAAGAGATCAACTAAAGGACTTGTATGCACACATATTAGCATAACCAATGGACATGGACACTGGGGCGGTGGGGGTTTGTCCTGGGGGGTGGGAGTGGCCAGGGAGGGGATGATAGGGGGAAAAGGAGACATATGTAGTACTTTAAGCAATAAGAAATTAATTTTAAAAAAGAAAAAATGTTCATTCCTTTTGACTCAGTTATCTAGGAATCTATCCCCTTTCCCAAATAGAAATCTTGAAACAAGATGTATGTGCAAACATGTCTAAACAGTATTACAATAGCCAAAAAAGGGAAAATAAATTACTCCAAGCATGGGGAACAATTAAATAGGTGTTTTTATAACCATTAAAAATCTTATTTTCCGACTATTTACTAAAAAGGAAAACATTCACAATATAAGTGCAAATAGCCGTAACCGGTTTGGCTCAGTGGATAGAGCGTTGGCCTGCGGACTGAAGGGTCCCAGGTTCGATTCCAGTCAAGGGCATGTACATTGGTTGCGGGCACATCCCCAGTGGGGGGTGTGCAGGAGGCGGCTGATCAATGCTTCTCTCTCATCGATGTTTCTGGCTCTCTATCTATCTCCCTTCCTCTCTGTAAAAAATCAATAAAATATATTTTTTAAAAAAATTAAAAACTGAAGGTAGGGGAGGGTGGGGGCAAGGGGGAGAGATCAACCAAAGGACTTGTATGCATGCATATAAGCCTAACCAATGGACACAGACACCAGGGGGGTGAGGGCATGAACAGGTTTGGGTGGGGGCAATGGGGGGATAAGGACACATATGTAATACCTTAATCAATAAAGAAAAAATAAAAATAAAAAATTGTATGTGTACATAAAAAGAACATTAAAAGTCACATCAAAATGTTAAGTTATCTTTAGTGAAAAGTATCACAAATGGTCTATACCAGTGGTCTGCAAACTGCGACTCGCGAGCCATATGCAACTTTGGCCCCTTGAGTGTGGCTCTTCCACAAAATACAGACTTCTGCGCATGGGCCACGAAGTTTCAATCGCACTGTACATGCGCGCCCGCAAGTGGTATTTTGTGGAAGAGCCACACTCTAGGGGCCAAAGAGCCTCATGTGGCTCACGAGCCACAATTTGCCGGCCATTGGCCAATAGTTTTTTTAACAATTTTAATTTATTTTTTAAAATTGTTTTATTGCTTAAAGTATTACAAAGGGTATTATATACAGTTTTGTATATGCCCACAATCTTCTATCATGAGCTTTCATAATAAACAGGATTTGTGTGATTCTTTAAGACTGTTCTGTCAGTTTTAAATGTGTAACAAATGATCACTGTATGCATGCACTCAGCAGTGAACCATTCAAGTTTATAAAGCCTTTACATTATTCCACTAAGAGAAAGCTACCTAAAACTGATAGCCTACCTATAACCATAAAATTATTCACAAAGGAGACTTTCTCCACACCGTAAAAGACATGGAAAAGAATCTCAATAAAATGGGATTTAACTCAACAACTAGGTTTGCTGCCCAACTTTTAATTAAAAAAACAATAAAGCCAAGAAAATGTATCTGCAAGGCTTTTTCACTAAGAATACACAAAGAACTTTCAATGGCATTTTGGTAAAATTCAGAAAAGCAGGTGAACCATATACACATTTTCTGAGGTAGACCTAATCATTACCTCAGAATGAAAATCCAGTCAATGAGCACTGTGGAGTAAGTCCTACTGTGAGGCTAATGAAAGTCATTCCAAATCTATGCCATTCATTCCCAGGGTACAATCCCCTAATATAATGAGTATTCATCACTAACTCCATGCCAGAATCCCCCATAGAGCAACCCTGACCCGGGCTACTCCTCTGGAGCCCCAAGTCACAAGTTAGAGAAGATGGTACACCCCCCCTAACTCTCCTCTAAGTGACCTCAATTGCCTTGGGATCATTACAAATCCCTCCTACCCCCTCTACAGTCTTGAAAATAAAAACATTCCAGGTCATTTTTAGGGCTATTTCTTCCACTTTGGCTTCTGAGTTCATCTCATCCGTCTCCTACGATACTCTTTTTTCTTTTCAATTTCTCTTTCCTGTGAGCTGCTCCTAAGGAGCTAAAATCTCTATTCCTGGAAAAGAAAAACTAAACAAGCCAAAAAAATCTTTGCTTTAGTCTTTCAAATATTACCAAATCTCCTCTCCTTCCTTCCCCTAAATTTATTGAAAAGTTTCATCTTCTGTCTCAACCTTTGTAACCCACAGTTCCACTCGTGTCACGCTACTGGAATTTCTATTCTGATTGCTCCCAAATCTACATTTCTGGCCTGGATAGTTCTCTAAAGCCTTAGCCCCATTTTTAACTTGTCCCAAGTCCCCAAACCAAATTCCTCTTGCCTCTCTCTGTTCATGGAACATGGTTCTCCCACCTGCAACTCACAGCTCTTCTGCACCTCTATTTCTATATTGAGATAGGAAAACTACGGGTGATACAAAAAGTGCACAGTAGTCTTGGGGTTTTTCTGACTAAAAACAAGGCTCTAAGTTCACATAACTGATAACTGCTTTATACAACAGTTCATTTCCTATCCTGCCAATAGCATGTGAGGCACTGTCCTGCCACAGGCCTTTCACAAATTCTCAAAGTACTAATGTACTTTGCTAAATGACATCCTTTTTGATAGTAGAGGTTGTGGTGGACAACTGCTAAGACAAAACCCACAACTACATCAGAAAAATGCTGTCCCCCAAACCAAAAACATGTCTATAACACTATATATAAAAATATTTGTTTTTTGAAATTTATTTTATTCTCCCAAAATTCCAGACAAACCCCAATTAGCCATAAAATCCTAACATACTACTAGAAAAGTATAAATTCTTAGGAAACTGGCTGTGTTTATGTTACTTTCCATTAAACTTAGACCAGTGACACACCAACCTAAATAACAGGTGACTCTAACATGAACACTACAAACATTCAACCTTAGGGATCATAAGTAATGGTGCCCAGAATCCAATAAATGAACAGGCATAGAAATGTCATCATCCTAAGGCCCTTATCAACAGCATTATTTAAACACTCTCCAGTTTTTTTTTTTATCAGGCGACAAGAAAAAAGCAAAATAAAGGTAAATCAAGTGTCTACCCACTGACATGCTTTCTACTTTCAATAAAAATTTTTTTATAATGACTAAACCCAAAGCAGAATATCTGTACTCAACTATACAGATATGTTTTTTGGATTGTTGCTCAAATTGGTGAATGATGTGATGTGAATAAAAAAAGTGCCACATAAAACTCCAAAATAAAAGAACTTCCTAAACTTTACCTATCTATATGATTTAGCTGTTTGCTTCTCCCTGAAAAGAAATGACTGGAAACATATGGTCCTCTGAAACACCATCATTGGGAGGGGTAAGAAGGCAGAACATTCAAGAAGGAGAAAAGATTTAAAAAGTAAGGTAGCCCAAGGCAGAAACATCATCTGCTGTAAGTATTGCTAATTCTGCTTTCCCTAATCTCAGCTGAAAAGAATACGGAGAAAGATATATTAGATCTCCTACTGCCATTCCAAGCCTTGCAAAAAGTGGGGGAGGAGAGGGAAGTTTTTAAAAAGCAGGCAGTAACTAGGAAAAAAAATGCTTGACTTGGAAAAAGTAGGGCTGAACAGGAACTTCCCCCTCCATCTTCACTGCCCCATTCTGCAAAACAACCTTGCTTTTACCATGGCCTCTAAGAAAAGGGATAGAAAAACACAAGGAAAAAATGGGGAGGAGAAAGCTGTAGGGAATGTACTGTTCTCCTTGCTTCACTCCTCCCATCACCCCAGTCCATTTTGGCAGTGCTTGCCCTCAGCCTCTGTCCCTACATTCCCTTGCCCTCATTATCAGAGCAAGATAATTCTGAAACCATTTCACTTTTCCGTGTATTTAACCTGATCCAATGTTGCAAAATGCAAATATGTCTGAAAGTATTATTTCACACTATTTTAGAATGCCTAAAATTCTAAGCACACTAGATTTCATGCATATGTGATATTAATGTTAAAGTTACTGCATGGGTTAAATAGGCTTCTGTGAGTTAGTCTAAGAAACTCTAACAACCATTTATTACACTGGAGCCATTAACTCTGTTCCAAGTTTTAGCACTGGCTTCAAAAGAGTGTCCCTAGTTTTGCCTAACTCAGTTTTATGACCTTGAACTCAGTCTTTTCCCTCTGGGCCTCAGTTTACCAGCATTTCCTTTTCAATTATGTTGTACTGATCTTCTGGATGATTGCTTAACTATAGTACCCTGCTTCCAGATAACTTTCTTTTAGGTAAGAATCATGTTTTATACCAGTACATTCCTTGTATCTGGTAGAAGCTCAGTAAATCTGTAGAGTGATTTAAGAGATGGCCAGGAACATACAAAAGACATTAAAATGTGAAAGGATTTTTCATGCTCATATTATAAACTGCATCAGAAATCAAAACTAGACTTCTTAATTCAACTCCAGTATTTTCCATAGCTGAACTCCTCTCCTTTTTCTCCACACACCCTCCCAGGCCTTTGTGTATGTATCTCAAACATCCACCTATATCAAAGGTCGGGGCCACGTGTAAAACATCTTCAAATCCCCCACATTCCGTATAATACTTAAATGCTTGCTTTAGAGAATTCTCCAAAGTACTCTTTTCTAATAAAACTAGTTAAAGGATGCACCCCCTGAATAAATTTGTATTAAGCAAGCCTTTCCAAAGCCTCGTTCCATCCTTCCACCGGGGAGCAAAATCAAGGCGTGTGCTACATGAAGGAATCTTCCAGATTTAAGCTTGTACATTTTGGAAGGGCCTAAAGCGCGAAGGCAAAGAGTTCATAAAGGAGAGAGAAAAAAACGGTCTGGTTTCCTA